AGATCTACTTATTCCAGATAGTCCAGAGATAGATCTCTTTTTAAAATTTAAATATAAACAATGGATACCATAAAATAATACCTGCCTAGAATAGAAATTTTTGAAAAGTTTGCCATGGGTAATGCTTTTCCTAGAATCACAAATTAGGATTTTAAAAACAAAAAAAAATTTAGTAAGTACTGGTAAGCACAAAATAAGTCTTTGAGTTTAAAAGCATCTATAACATTAAACGATGCTATATTTTAAAAATAAAACACATCTATTAAAATAGAACTCATCTTATTTGAAGGACAAACTATATTTTCCAGCACTGAAAGATTCACGGATATACAGCACTGCTGCATAATGCCAACAAGATTTTTTGTAATGGTGCTATAATGTAAAAATTCCCGAACCATGCTTACTGCTATTGAATAGACACATTTCTCTACAAAAGCATTTTGGTAAGGCTCTATTCATTTTGGGAAAAAAGAATAGAAAAATAATGGAGATCAAAAGCTTGCTTTACATGAGGTATGTGGCAATGTGTCTTCAAGCCACATGCTACTTAAAAAAAAAAGAACACTGGCATCTAGAATCCTACCTCAAACACTAAATTGAACCTCAGTTTTCCTCATCAGTAAAATGAGGATAATACCAACTCCTTTCACAAGATTGTGAGGAAGATTAAATGAAACGTAATAGGTGAAGATTAATGGAATCCAGTCTTACACGGTAATCACAATATCCATTAAAGGAATAGGGGCAAACACATGTTAAAAGAAGAGAGAGAAAAAAATCATAAATTATAGGTTATAAGCAATAAATACAATGTAAATAGTACTCCTCCCGTTGAATATACTACAGGCCAAACTCCTCTGTTTTACCTATGAAGAAATAAAAGCTCAGAGAGGTTAAGTGACCAGCCCAAAGTTAAAAAGCAGGCAGATAAGGGGCTAAAATCTTGCTTAACTACTAAATCTGGCATACATTTTATAGAGGACTTTCACATACAAGATCCAGTTGATCTTCACTATGAGGTAGTTAATTTGACTCATGAGAAAGCCCAAGGCACCAAAGTTAGCTAGCCAGTTAGTGATGGAACCATGAGTAAAACCTGGGACACTGAATACTGCTTCTCTTAAGACAGAGACTGAAAGCCTTTCTTACTCATAACTTGACTAATACAAAAAACTATGCCTTAGCAAGCAATCACATTCTTGTACTCAATTAATAATTATGTTAAAGTCATACTACAAAGACATAAATGTTTCCATTCTGTATTTAATAGAATCAATCAGCTTCTTAACATAAAAATGCTCAAATCGAAGACAAGTTTTTTGACATATTTCCCAAACTAAAACCTCAGTAGATACTGGTTTAGTGCACGGCAGCAAGAATTATTTTTATTCTGTTTGTTCATAGATTATTTAAACAGGACAGCTGGGTTAGTGAGTTGCTGAATATTTTATCATAATCAAGCAGTACGTTGTTTCTATCACTGATGACCCCAATATTCACATTCTTAAAAATTACTTAATCCTTTAAATTGCCCTTTCTTTCATGTAAGATTCTGTAGTTAACCCGTAGGTCAATCAGTTCTTGTACTTAAGATGATTCACTTTCATAAAATAATTATGCTACAAATACTGCATTATTATGCAGCTGAAGGGACAGGCTGGGAAACTGATTAAAAGGACTCAAGTAGAGATGAGCCAATTGAAAAATACAGCATCTAAATAATAGTTACATTTACAATACATTTTTCTGAATGTCATTAAAAATATATATACATCTGCTTGATATTCCAAATTCTTGCTTTAAAAGGGATCAAGCTTTGAAGGAAGATTTCTAGGTTTAACAAGAGAACATGGCACAGCAATGTAGGAGGTCAGAGCTCAGCTACCATGAAGGTTTTCAGACCGTCTGTGCAAATAAGAGCGTGTTCCCTGAGTTCCAAACAGGTCTCTGCTCAAAACCACGTTCAAAGATGTGAAAATGGAGAGCCAAATGCATAAAAGTAATTTCTAAGTTTTGCAACTAATAACTGGCAACATTATTTTTGGGTGAGTGAGAGAAAAGAACCATTACATTAACACACAAATGAGCAGCAATCACTCACACTACCTTCCTATGTAAGAGAAGAATAAATATATAACTGGGGTGGGGATCAAGCACTTGAAATAGTTATGGCCAGAGATTACCATCAAAGTAACTGCTTAGCTCAGTTCATAAGACTTCACTTGGACTCATCAAGGATTGTCATCCAAAAGGCACAGCCTGAATGCACTAAGCTTTCTGGTGAATTGAGATTGTGCATACACCTTAAGGTACGTTGCTTGCCTGTCTTCTGAGCATTTTTAAAACTATATTTGATAATAATGCAATTTTGAATCCCTTTTACCTAGTGTTAGTTTTATAGTATACTTTTTAGGTAGACAAAACACTCAGTAAATGTGTTAGAGATTCAATTGATAAAACAAGGCCCAGCTTGTGAAAAAGCAACACTACACATAACACTTGATCCTCACAGCTTCCTCAGCCATAGCTCTAAAAAAGCCACACAATTCAGAATGATCATGCTGAAACATCTTATGAATTAATACAGATAAATTCTGTATTAGTCCATTTTGTTCTGTATTAAAATTATCTAAAATTGATCATTTGAAATTGACTGTTATGTAGCATCATCAATAATTGAAATGCTCCATTCCTCAATCACCTTGGTTATGCAGGAGTTTTCTGCAAACATAGTTCTCTAGAGAAATTCACATTTAAAGTGCTCCACTAATTACAGTCTTCATTCAACACACATTTATTAAGCACTTATTGTGTACCACGCACTATCAGTACAAGAAACAGCATGCTGAATCAAATTAGCCCTTGCCTTTGGAGGTAGAGGGCATGGCTTACAGAAAGGCAAATATTACATAATGCAACAAGTGCTATAAGAAATGTGCACTAATCACTGAGCATTAAACGATTAGTAGGAGTTTGGTAAATATACTAGAGATTGCTCATGAGGAGAGGGGAGTAGGACAGACCTACAGCCTGTGCAAAGTTGTATAGGTAGAAAAGAGTACTTATTTGGCAGGGCAACAACAGAGCTCAATAATAGCAAAAGTAAGCAATGACCAGAACAGGGCACAAAGGATGTTCAAAAAGCCACGTCAGGAGTTTAGCCTTTATCTCAACGAAACTGTGAAGCACTAAAAAGTTTCAAGCAGGGATGTGATAATGATTTTGGTTTAGAGAAATCCTTCTGGCTATACAACAGAAGGAAGGAATAAACTTGGAGGCAACCAAATCTAGTAGATTTATTAAAAGACTATTAAAATCACTACTACCTTTAGATCAAGGCAACAGGATCTGGCCTTCCTGTGGCCACACCTCTCTCCATGTAATAAGCAGAGAAAAGGGCCAAGAGGAAGTGTCACTTTACTTGGTCTCACCCCAAGAGACCACTTTCCACTGACCTGGAATCCCAGAACTCCTAGCCTAAATGTCAGAGCCCATTTCCAGGAAAGGTCCTCATGCAGGTATGTGCAACCCTAGGCCTGAAAGGTAGCCAAAGGGCAGTTGCTGAGGGAAGATAGGGGCTGTGGAGAAAGCTTAGACATTTTACCACAATTTTAAATATATATATGTATGTATATATATAATATTTGTAATACTGTATATATTATAAATAAACATTTAAGAAATATTTTATTGCGGTAAAATATATTTTATAATATATAAGGATATATATACATAAGTATATATAATATATACAATATTACAATATTGCATATATTATATGCAATATTGAAAATTAGCAATTTCATACCATACTCATGTATAAATGAATATTTGTGCCTAGAAACCTAACTTTTTTAATGATATATAGTCCTGATCTGAAATTTTAAATTTTTTAACTTTTTGAGAATTTCTGAAGAATTCTCTGACAGAAAATATTTCCCCTATAAAACAGACATACTAAAGTCAGGATCAACATACTAGAAAGTCAAAGCAATCTGAAGATAGATAAGCCAACCAGGTGTTAATAACAGGCTGGTGAAACAAAAAACAAAAATCATTTAGTGAAGGATCAATGTGTGGCTAAAGGCAGATTATTTGTTATACACAAATGAGCTACTGTATTGCACAGCTCTTCTCATGAGTGTACAGAGATGCATTACCCTCACATTAAATAAAGACTCAGTGAGCAAAACACTGTGGCAAGCATCTGCTGGCTAATGACAAAGAAAACCATAGACCCTTTGAGGCCAATTTCCATCCAGCTGTAAGCATGGAAGCAGCAAACACACATACTGCTTTTCAATATCAATCCCAAATAACCATGAAAAAGAAGCTCCTCGGCTTTCAAAGCCATTACAAGTATTAATTACATATGCTAAACAATACACTTAGGAAAAGTTAACTCTAAATAAGCAGATATCGAAATATATAACTGCATTTTATTCTCATTCCACCTTTCTTTGTCTCCACATCCATAGTAAGGAGAATTGGCCTACAGAAGGCACTAAACAAAACTGTAAACTAGGCAAAGTTTGTCTTCTGCATCTAATCACTTACATTATCAGTTACTTTTTTCTGTCTTTATTTCACTACCTTTTCCTGCCTACCCTAACCCCAACATTCTTTTATTTTCCAGGACCTCTGCTGTAATGTTCTCTGAGGCCCGCCTTGGCCTCCCTTGCTCCTGTGTTGAATTTATTTATCTACATTTTTCTCAATGCATGTGACCTGATAAAAGAACAGCACCTGCAAACATCCGTAACTCCCTTCCTTTTGCCTCTCCTTCCATCCAGGACTAATGCTTTCACCTAAGCTCAAGACCACACTCTCTCTTGCCTTCTCAGAAACCTTTGAAATACCCTTTATCTTACCAATGTATTCAACTTTCTCTCTTCACTAGCATCTTTCCTTCATTACATAAACACATTTAAGTCTCTACCTAAAAAAACAACAAAACCTTTAGCTTAAAAGGCAAATAAATCCTACTATATGGAACTTACCCTATGGTGTCCTCCCTTTCGTCTCTGCCCTCACGCAAATTCCCTCTCCAGTCCACAGCAATATGGCTTCTGCTAACACCATTAGATTAATCCAAGAGTTCTTAACCTAGGGCAGTAGGGTCTGTGGATAGAATTCAGAAGATCCATGAACTTAGATGGCAAAATAAATTATTTCTTTATCTTCTCCAAACCTCTAAAATTACTAATATATATACTGTACTTACAAATTTACTAAATTACTACTGGCCTGCCACTATATCTTGTTGTGTAGTATGTTAATTAAGCACATATTACTTTATCACAATTTGTTTGGTAATGATATTTTAGTATAATTGCTTTCCTTTGTAATCCTATGTATTTTATTTCCATCTGGGGCAAACTGTATTTTCCAAATATGCTGCAAAAATATCTCCCATTCCACATGCTCTTCTATGATGTAAATTTGCCACTTCCCCATAAAGAGGTAGAGCCTAATTCCCTTCTCCTTAAATCCAGAGTGGCACTTAACTTGCTAGTAACCAAGAGAGTGTGGTGGAAGTGACACTGAGTGACTTCTAATGCTGGTTAAGGAAAAGTCATGCAGGTTCTGGGACTAGGTTTGGGGTGATTTGTTAAACAGCGATTAACCAGTGATTACCAGGACAAAATTCAGTACCTGGAACTAGAGTACTAACATAACAAAAACATGTGATACTGGCTTTGGGATTGGGTGGTAGACACAAGGTGGAAGGGCCCTAAGAATCTCATTAGCAAAAGCTTGATGAGCCTTGAGAAGGTTACTGGAGAAGCCTTAAAGGAGTGAGTAAAATGCTCTCAGAAGCTGGAGGAAAGAAGACCCTTGTTATAAAGCGGCAGAAAATTTAGTAAAACTGTTGCCTCTGCTAAGTTAAAAAGCAGAAAATGTTGATAATGAACTGTTACTTCTAGCTAAGGTAATTCCCAAGCAGAAGGTCCAAAGTGTCAACTGATTTCTTTTATATGTATAGTATTGTAGAAGGTACAGATAGAGAGATGAGTTAAAGAAAGTATTCTGTTTTCAAGCAAAATTTAAGGAAATATAAAGGAACCAGCAATTGCTGCGTTCAAAAGGAAAACTATTTTCATCTACAATCTCTCCCAGCAGAGAATGCTCAAAGTAAGAAAAGGTCTGAAGACAAAGATCAAATAGAGGGTGCTGAAAGGAAAATCTGGTCTCCAGGAAGAGAGGAAGCCAACGGTGTTACTGAAAAATCCTTTATTAACACCCGGTTTCTCCTTGATCTCCTTCCCAGTGCCTTTTTCTGTACTTGTCCACTAAAACTAGATGTGCTCAAGGCTTTTGTACTCAAATCCTGAGCAATTTCTTCTTCAACCACTCCTGGAAAATCTATTAACCCAAAAATCTCTCCCTCAAGCCCCCACCTCTCTCCAAGAATTGTACACAGATCTACACATCTCCACTTGAATATCTCAGAGAAACCTCAAACTAAATTATTTCAAAACCCTATCCATCCCTACTCCACAAGTTATTTCTACACATGAACATGCATTGGGAATAAATAGCACTACCATCCATTTAATTGCACAATGTAGGAGTCATCCCTGATTTCTTCCTCTCCTTCTCCCTGCCCCCATCCTCCCCCAACCAACAGTTAATAATATCAGTCATCAAGTTCTATAGATTCTACCTGCTAAACCTCTCTGGAGTCTACCCCCTCTTCAGTTACATCCTGTCTGGACTACCTTCCAAGCAGTCTCTCTGTTCCAATATATATTTCATACTATTCTCAAAATCACCTTCTTAAAACAAAATATTAAACATGTTAACCTCCTGCTTAAGACCCTTCAGAGATCCCTATCAAAACCTTTTGACAGGGCTTCCCTGGTGGCGCAGTGGTGGAGAGTCCGCCTGCCGATGCAGGCCACACGGGTTCATGCCCCAGTCCGGGAAGATCCCACATGCCGCGGAGCAGCTAGGCACGTGAGCCATGGCTGCTGAGCCTGCACGTCCAGAGCCTGTGCTCCGCAACGGGAGAGGCCACAACAGTGAGAGGCCCGCGTACCGCAAAAAAAAAATAACCTTTTGACATAGCTTACAAGTAAGTACTTTTCGATCCAGCCCTCCCCTACAAACTACCCCACATACCATTTATTCTAAGTACGCCAAAATAAGGACCCAACATGATTAGGAGTACATACTTTTCCCCCTAGGAAGCAACTCCTGTTATGAATCCTAAGTACTCTGCTATGTATTTACTGCTTCAACAATTATAGAGCACCTACTCTGTGGCAAATCTGGCAGGGCCTATGCCAGGGCTAGGAATACAAAAATAAATGAGAAACAGGTCCTGGCCTCTTCCCTGGAAGCGCACAGAAAGAAGGAAAATAAGTACAACACATGGATTTATAATGGAAGATAGCATGATGTGGTGGATTGACTATTCGAGGTGGGCAGAGAGGTAGAGCAGAGAGTAAGAAAAACAACAGGATAAATACAGTACTTTCTCCTGGAGCAGCAAGTCTCTTTGATGTAGAAACTTAAAGCATTTTAATATTAATATACTCATTATAAGCAGAATACAAATTACATGAAAGATGCAATAAAATACTTTAAAATTCATGGGCCATTTTGGGTAAGAATGACTATCCAGAGTTAAAATTTAAAGTAATATGACTAAGCAGAAAGATAGCCACGTTAAGTCAGAGACCCTCTTAGAATTGAGCAACTCACACCACCTAAAGGCTGGCTTTTTGGCTCCGCCTATCCAAAAAGCCAACACTAGCTGGGTGAAAATTCAGTGAAATACCACTGGATGGTCAAAAAGATTCTGTAGGACTCTTTGTTACAGCCAGCCTACACCTCTACACAGCCTCTATAGAGGGCTTCAGACATGGCAAGAAGGCTTACAGGTGACTGAGGAATCTTCAACTTACTCACTTGGCTCGGTCAGATTAAAGTTACCTGTAATTATACAAAGGAAGTCTAAGAAGACCAGGAAAAATTATACACTGGCTCCAACTCCTACAGAGATGATGAGTTAGCAAAACTGCTGATGCCCTTTCAGAAGATCAGCCCTTGGGGAAGTTACACAGGAAAAATGGAGAGACCTATGAGAAACACCTGCGGTGACAAGGACCCATTTTGAACCGGTATGTGTGGAATGGTGGCTTTGGCCTGAGGCAAGAGGCAGCCCACCAAAGCCATGGGATAACAAAACAGAAGAAGAACTACTGAAGTTCTGTTTTTGCTTTTCTTGTGTCCCAGCAACTATGTGCACATGACGTGGTCCCATATGGGACAACATCTGGTCTCTGGTCCTCAGGAAAATAGGAGCTGAGAAAAACAGCTGGATACACACTAACCTCCCTTGGCTGCTTCTTCACATCACCCTCTGCTCCTACACAAACCTCTTCCTCAAGAGAAACAGAAAAGAAGTGACCTGAGATTATATTGTATGGGGTTAGGAGTGACTGACTGACTCAAGCTCTCTGAGGCCTGGGGCTCTCTAACTCCTACCCTGATATCACTGGGACATAAACCTGATTATCCCCACAGAAGCACTGTCTGACAGAGTAAAATATCAAGTACCAAAGAGTAAGTGTTAAACAAGATATTTTAGTCTGTTCGAGCTACCATTACAAAATACCATAGACAAGATAGCTTAAACAACAGAAATACTTCCTCACAGTTCTGGAGGCTGGAGGTCTGCAATTAGGGTGCCAGCACGGTCAGGTTCTGGTGAGAGCTCCCTTTCTGGCTTGCAGATGGCCACCTTCTGGCTGTGTCCACATAGAAGACAGAAAGGAACAGCAAGCTCTCTGGTTATCTATTCTTATAAAAGCACTAACCTCACTGAACCAGGGCCCCACCTTCATGACCTCATCTAACCCTAATTATCTCCCAAAGGCCCCACCTCCAAATACCACACATTGGACGTTAGAGCTTCAACACACGAATTTGGGGTAGGGGGAATGACATACAGTCAGTCCATAACATCTATTTATTTTTAAAAAGGTGAAATTTGATCCTAACATTGTACCATATGAAAAATCAACACCAGATGGATCAAAGACTTAAACATCGAAAACAACTTTAAAAAACTTAGTGGAAAAGATGACTATCTTTTGACCACAGGGTAAGGAAAATTTTCTTAAATAAGAAAAATTTGACTATACTAAGAACCACTGTTCATCAAAAAATACCTTCAAGAAAGTAAAAATACAAGTTATAAACTAGCAAAAAGTGTTCACAATACACACAACTTGTAATGCACTATTATCAATAACATATAAAGGAGTAACACACACACACACAATCAGAACATGGCCAGAAAAATGGGCAAGAGACAATGAAGAGGCATTTCACAGCAGAATGCAACATATAACCAACACATGTACGAAAAACTGTTCATCACTGGGGATCACAGATTTTCAAAGCAAGACCCTGTGTCACGAAAAACCATGGAAAGCTTTGTAATGGACCAAAAAACAAAGAAACAAACAAATAAAAATCAGTCAATCTTCTCTCAAGTTCATACATACATCACCTCCATCTTTCATTGCCTTTGAGCAATTTTTCAATTTGATGAAATGTAGAAAATTGATGATAATGTGAATTATTCTTGTGTACAACAGAGCAAATTACTTGTGTCCAGTGGATTACAATTGGTAATTGCACAGGAGATATACTAATTTTTGCATTTATTTGAAAATGTTATTTCAGCATTCCTTTACTACACATAAATGAGTAACTCTTCAAATTTCCCTTTGAACTGATTTTAACATCTTACCAGTTTCCTCAATAGTGAGTTAAATAAAATACTTGACAAGTGACAATTTTATATCTGTATGAGAGTCACAATTATATCTCCTTTTAAAAATCCTTTATGACCACAATTAAAATTCAACATCACCCACTGTGATTTAAAAAAAAACAAAAAACAAAAAACCTTACAGCAAACGAGGAATAGAAAGGGTTACTCAACCCAAAGATAACACCTTCATGGTGAAAGACTGAAAACTTTTTCCCCCAAATCAGGAACAATCCAAGGATGTCTGCTCTCACCACTTGCATTCAAAATTGTACTAGAGGTTCTAGTTAGTAAATAAGGCAAGGGAAAAATGATAAGATGATAGAAAGAATTTAAAAAATAAATGATAGGAAGAAGTAAAACTGTCTTTACTTACAAACATATCAGTTACATAGTAAAGCCTAGAAAATCTTAAGAAAAAAAAAGGCTACTAAAACTTACAAAGGCCAATATACAAAATTAAATGATATACTAGTAATGAACAACTGGAAATGAAACACTTTTAAAATGCCATTACAATAGCATTAAAAAATCAAAGTAGAAGACTTGTACACTGAATACTAAAAAAAATACATAGCTCTTGAGAAATTAAAGATGATCTAAATAAGTGGAGTGAGATATCATGTTTATAAAGTGTTAAGATGCCTACTCACTCCAAATTGACCTGTGGAGTAAGTACAGTGTGAAGCAAAATCTACAAACGTTTTTTCAGAAAATGAAAAGCTAATCCTAAAACCTAAGTGGTAAAGTGGATTTTAACATTTAAATGAAAATACAAGGAGCCTAGAAGAGCCAAAACAAATCTTTAAGAAAAACAAAATTAGAGAACTTACACTATCTGACTTCCAAACTTATAAAGCTACTGTAATCAAGATAGTATGGTATCAGCAAAAAGAAGAAAAATACATCAATGGAACAGAAGACAGAACCCAGATACACACATACACAGTCAACTTTTTTTTTTTTTTTTTTTTGGCCGCATTGGATCTTTGTTGCTGCACGCAGGCTTTCTCTAATTGCGGTGAGCGGGAGTCACTCTTTGTTGAGGTGTGTGGGCTTCTCACTGCGGTGGCTTATCTTGCTACGGAGCATGGGCTCTAGGCACACGGGCTTCAGTAGTTGTGGCACACTGGCTCAGCAGTTGTGGCTCGCGGGCTCTAGAGCACAGGCTCAGTAGTTGTGGTGCACGGGCTTAGTTGCTCTGTGGCATGTGGGATCTTCCCCGACCAGGGCTCGAACACACGTTCCCTGCATTGGCAGGCGGATTCTTAACCACTGTGCCACCAGGGAAGTCCCTGTCAACTGATTTTTGACAAAGTCATCAAAGCAATTCAATGAGGAAAAGAAAGTCTTTTCAACAAATGGTCCTGGGAAAACTGGTTGCCCACATGCAAAAGAATGAAGTTGAACCCTCACCAGCACCATATACAAAAGTTAACTCAAAATGGATCAAATACTTAAATGTAAGACCTAAAACAAATACCTAAATGTAAGACCTTTCTCTTAGAAGAAAACATACGGCAAAAGTTTCAGAGCATTGGATTTGGCAATGATTTCTTGGATTTAACACCAAAGGCATATGTAACAAAAGACAAAACAGACAAATTGGACTTCGTGAAAATTTTTGTTTTGTGCATCCAAAGACACTATTCATGGAGTAAAAAGGCAAGCCACAGAATGGGAGAAAATATTTGCAAATCATATATATGATAAGGGATTAATATCGAAAATATATAGAGAACTCCTAAAACTCACCACCAACAACAAAAATAACCCTATTCAAAAATGGGCAAAGGACGTGAATAGACATTTCCCCAAGAAGATATATGAATGGCCAATAAGCACAGGAAAAGATGCTCAACATCACTAATCATTAGGGAAATGCAAATCAAAACTACATCTCACACCCACTAGTATGGCTACTATGAAAAAAATAGTAAACAAGTTTTGGCAAAATGTGTAGAAACTGGAAGTCTTGTGCACTGTTCAGGGGAATTTTAAATGGTACTTCTGCTGTGGAAAGCAATATAAAATACATTCCTCAAAAATGAAAATAGAATTACCAAATGATCCAGCAAATCCACTTCTGGGTATAAACCCAAAAGAACTGAAAGCAGGATCATGAAGAGATATTGGTACACCCAAGTTCACAGGAGCATTTTTCATAATAGCTAAAACATAGAAGCAACCCAAGTATCCATCAACAGATGAATAGATAAGCAAAATATGGTATATACATATAATGGAATATTATTCAGCTTTACAAAGAAAGGGAAAATATACTACAACACAGATGAACCTTGAGGACATTATGCTAAGTGAAATAAGCCAGTCACTAAAAGACAAATACTGTATGATTCCACTTACATGAGGTACTTAGAGTAGTCAAAGTCATAAAGACAGAAAGCATTATTGTGGTTGCCTGGGACTGGGGGGAGGGGAAAATGGGGGTTTGTTTCACAAGATGAAAGGAGTTATGGGGATAGATGGTGGTGATCGCTGCACAACGTGAAAGCATTTAATACCACTGAACTGTACACTTAAATATGGTTAAAATGATAATTTTTTTGTTATGTATATTTGACCACAAATTTTTTAAAAGACATATTAAGAAAGAGAGCGAGAATGGGAGAAAAGAAGTTTGTGATGGTGAGAAAAGATGATTTTTTTTTAAAAAAAATTGATAGAAATCAGAATAGTGGTTCACTCTGGTGAAAAGAATGTCAAGGAAGGAGGCTGAGGAAACTGAAGGGGTAATAAAAATGTTCTAAATTTTTATAGGGGATTGCATTATATAGGTATATGCACATGTCAAAACTCACTGAACTGTATATTTAAGATCTGTGCATTTTATTGTAAAGTTGAAAATTATATCTCGCTTTTAAAGTTTTTTTAAAGATCACAACTAGATACTATTTTAGATCATTCAACTAGAAAATTTTTAAAGTCTGAAAACACCAAGTACTGGAAAGACTGTAAAACAACAGGATCTCTTATACACTGATGGTATGGTAGAAGGATAAAATGGGGCAATCACTCTAGAAATAAACTTTGGATTATCTTTTTAAGTTTAATATTTACTACTGATACCGTATGACCCAGCAATTCCATTCATAGTTCCATACCCAGGAGAACCTCTTGCACATGAACTATAAGAGTCATGTACAGGAATGTTTCTTGCATCAGTGTTAAAAATAGCAAACACCTGAAGACAGAATTTTTTATGACTCAAACCCAGAAATAAATTGAGCGTGATAACTAAGGGTATCAGTTTCAAATACTGAAGATGTCTTTATGTTTTAAAGACAACTCAGTTTTAGTATGTATATATTATCAGTTTGTTCAAGGTGTGTGTGTACAGAACAAATCCAAAATTAAGGCACAGAATTAAGGTACTATAATGAATTTTTATTTTAAAAGGTAGAATTTATTCATTCAACATGGCTTTTATGAGAGTAAAGATTGGAACTTATCTAAATGCTGGTTACATCATCTATACTATATTCATACGCAAAATATCCTGCAGCTGTAAACATGAATGAAGTAGATCTAAATATACAGAAAGATCTCCAAGTCATGAAAGGAAGTTGAAAAAGGAAGAAGTAGAACAGTACATTCTCATGGATTAAAATAAATTCCAATACAGATATTTTAAATTTTATATTTACATTTGCAAAAATAATTTGAAAGCTAATAAACTGCTAATGGAACTTTCTTCTGAAAATAAGAACAGGGGATCTAAGGTGAAAGGAAGATTTACTTTTCACTGTAAATCCTTTGGTACCATCTGTATTTCTGACCACATACCTGCTTTTTCAATTTACATGGAGGGAGGGGAGAAAGAGGCTCTCAGACTTCCATGTTTCTGGCAAGCAACCTCTCCCCATGCCTCACAGCAGATATGCCAAACCTTCACCACTCCCTTCAAACTCCATATCTCACCCCTGTTGCCTCCCTCCAGAACATCGC